AGCTGTCAACAAAATAACTGAGGATCTTTACCCTGTAGTAGCAAATCCATACACTTTGCTAACATGCTTAACACCAGAGCTAACTTGGTTTACCGTTTTAGATTTAAAGGATGCCTTCTTTTGCCTCCCTCTCCACGAAGCCAGCCAGAAAATCTTTGCATTTGAATGGGAAAGCCCTAAGAGTGGGCGCAAAACCCAGCTCACGTGGACGGTGCTGCCTCAAGGATTTAAGAACAGCCCCACTCTGTTTGGAGAACAGCTTTCAAAAGACTTAGAATCCTGGGAGGCTCCGCCGGGAGAAGGGAAGCTACTGCAGTACGTAGATGACATCTTAATTGCCACCCAGACAGAAGAAATGTGTGTGGCTTGGACAGTAAGCCTCTTAAATTTCCTGGGACTCCAGGGATATAGGGTGTCTAAGAAAAAGGCTCAGGTAGTGAAACAGAAAGTGATTTACCTGGGTTATGAGATTAGTGCTGGACAACGGACTTTAGGGCAAGATCGTAAAGAAGCAATATGTCAAACCCCGAAACCCCAGACAATAAAAGAATTGCGGACCTTCCTGGGTATGACAGGGTGGTGCAGGCTGTGGATTTACAACTATGGGCTGCTTGTAAAGCCCCTATATACACTCATTGTCAATGGAAATAGAAACCTCCAATGGACAAAGGAGGCCATGCAGGCCTTTGGCCAGTTAAAGAATGCTCTCATGTCAGCTCCAGCTCTAGGACTTCCAGACGTGAGCAAACCATTCTTTCTATTTTCTCATGAGAGGCAAGGGATTGCCCTGGGAATACTAGCACAAGACTTGGGCCCATACCGACGAGCAGTTGCTTATTTTTCTAAGCAGTTAGACGTAACGGCAAAAGGATGGCCTGGGTGCCTTAGAGCCGTCGCAGCAGTCGTGCTGAATATCCAAGAAGCACGCAAATTTACCTTGGGCCAGAGAATGACAGTGCTAGTGTCCCATACAGTGTCTGCAGTACTGGAAATGAAAGGTGGACACTGGCTTTCCCCTCAGAGGTTCCTGAGATACCAAGCTGTCATTGTGGAACAAGATGATATAGAGATAGTGGTAACTAACATTGTCAACCCAGCTTCTTTTCTTAGTGGAAATGAAGGAGAACCTGTACACCACGATTGCCTGGACACTATTGAAGCCACATACTCCAGTCGCCCAGACCTGAAAGATACCCCTTTGGACAACGCAGAAACCTGGTTTACGGATGGAAGCAGCTATATCACCAGTGGAAAGCGACATGCTGGGTATGCAGTAACCACCTGCAGAGAAGTAATAGAATCTGGACCCTTGCCAATAAACACTTCCGCGCAAAAGGCGGAACTGACCGCACTGACTAGAGCTCTGGAACTAGCAAAAGGGAAAAGGATAAACATCTATACAGATTCAAGATATGCATTCGGAGTTGTACATGCACATGGTGCCATTTGGAAGGAGAGAGGACTGTTGAATTCACATGGAAAAAATATCAAACATGCACAAGGAATACTGAGACTATTGGAAGCGGTCCAACTACCTGAGAAGGTGGCAATTATGCACATCAAAGCACACCAGAAAGTGAGCTCAGAATTAGAAGAAGGAAATGAGCTGGCGGACAGAGAGGCAAAAGAAGCAGCAAAGGGTGAGATAACAATTGAAGGAGTTTTAGTTCCAGATGGGAAAATTTCTCTGGAAGGCAGGCCAAACTATAATAAGGAAGATCGGAAATTGATTATAGATCAGGATGGAACATTTAATGAGGAAGGGTGGGCTAGTACACCACAGGGGAAGCTAATTGTTCCCTCATGCTTGTTATGGGCCCTTATAAAAAATGAACATCAGAAAACCCATTGGGGAGTGGATGCCTTACATAAATATTTAATAAACAAAATTCTAGCTAGAAATTTATATGCTACCATCCAACAAGTAACTCAGCAATGTGATCTTTGCCTTCAAACAAATCCCAAAATTACTCCCAAGCTTAAAGTAGGCCAAATTGGCAGAGGTAATGGACCAGGCCAACAATGGCAGATTGACTTTACGGAACTGCCAAGAAAAAGGGGGTATAGACATTTGTTGGTACTAACAGACACCTTTTCAGGTTGGCCAGAAGCCTTTCCAACAAGAAGCGCACAAGCCCGGGAGGTAACAAAAATATTATTACAGGAAATAATACCACGATATGGAGTTCCAGCCACTATATCTTCAGATAGAGGACCACATTTTGTTTCAAAAGTGGTACAACAAATTAACAAACATTTAGGTATTGATTGGCAACTTCATACTCCCTACCGTCCTCAGTCAAGTGGTCAGGTGGAGAAAATGAACCACCTAATTAAACAACAAATTGTGAAATTGGGTCAGGAGGCCAGTTTACCTTGGCCTCAGACACTTCCATTAGCCCTGTTGAGAATTCGAACTAAACCAAGAACTCGAGAAGGATTGAGTCCTTTCGAAATTCTGTATGGAAGACCATATGGGGTCCAACAGGGAACCTCTCTCCAAGTGGGAGAAGAGACTATGAATAATTATATAATAGAGTTAGGAAAACAACTCAGGAAAATTGAAAAATATGTGGCTGGAACTCGAAACAGAGGACTGGATAGTCCCGTACATAATATACAACCTGGAGATTATGTGTATATAAAATCTTTCAGACCTACAGGGGAAGAAGACCTCGAACCACGGTGGAAAGGGCCGTTCCAAGTACTACTCACAACTTTCACAGCTATCAAAGTTAGAGAACAAAACGTCTGGATTCATCATACTCGAGTCAAGAAGGCTCCAAAGGCACCCTGGAAAATCACATCAAGCGGTAATGACAGACTGAAATTAAAACTAACTCGTGAAAAATAGATTGATCCATGGGTGTCAACACAATGTTGCAGTTATAATCAGAATATAAATCCGACTATCACTTACTACCTGGATATGAGATAAGGGTAGTATAGTGCAAGTGCTGCACATACTGTATGAAGCTAGGCCCAATTATAATAGACAAACATATTTAAGTAACATAGTTGGTTATGAAGCAGTCATTAATACTAATCCTTTATATCAATACCATGGTCCAAGCCATAGATAAAGAAACGTCAATACTGGGTTCAAATACGAATGTCTGGCTCACATGGGCAAACAAGACTGGGATTACTGATTTTTGCCTGACCTTGGCACAGGTGGGAAATCCCTTTCAAACGTGCCTAATTGGTATACCAGAATGGCTAAATAACCTAGGAGTTACTGGATGGTTCAGGGAAATACTTAAACAAGGCCTTCTAATGTTGGTTATAGTACTACTCATTTTAATGATTGTACCTTGCATAATACAATGTATATCAAGATCACTTCAGAAATCGATAGAAGGAACATGGATAACTCTGTCATAAATAATATAGTAGAAGAATTTACTAACTTTATAGAAAAAGGGGGGATTGATGCAGAGGGTTGACCAATGTACAGGGGGGTTGTACAGGGGGGTTAGAGGAATTTGCTTGCGTTAGAGGAATTTACTTGTGTTAGAGGAATTTACTTGCCTAGACAAGGTATTGTCTGTTGTAAGTGCTTACTAAGCAGAACAAAGACACCAAGTCCTATTGATAAGCAAAAGCAGACACCTGGTCCTATTGATAAGCAGACACCTGATTATAATGATAAGTAGCTATTGATAAGGAAAAGCAGGCGCCGGATACGGGAAGAAGCAGATGGTTTATGGCTGGGGCACCGACCAAACCCTAAGACCATATGTGTAAAGACTAAAAGGTGACAAGTTCAAGAAGAGGAAGACTCATTTACTTCATCTTGAAGACCCCTACCCACAGGAAGAAGACTCATTTACTTCATCTTGAGACCCCTGCCCATGACCAGAGGGGGCACTGCGCAGGCGCAGAGGACTTTCTAGGTCATTATAATACGAAGCGGGGATAGAATATGAATATGTATAGGCGTATTGTGCAACCTTGTAACTTTAGAGGATAAATGTAGAGGGAAACAACACTGAGGCACGCATGACTTTTGGAGGACCAATCCCCCGTGCGTCTTCAGCTGAATAAAGCATACCTACTTTACAACTTTAACGAAGTTGTGGAGTCTATTCCGCTATCACTACTGCTAAACCCAGGACAGTAGGGGTCTTCAAGATGAAGTAAATGACTCTTCCTCTTCTTGAAGTTTTCACCTTTTAGTCTTCATGTATGGCCTTAGGGTTTGGTCCCAGCCATAAACCATCTGCTTCTCCCCCTTAACAGATTCAGGGGTCTGCTTTTCCCTATCAATAGGTGCTTATCGGTAGAATCATGTGTCTGCTTTTCCTTGTCAATAGAACCAAGTGTCTGCTTTTCCTTATCAATAGTTAGTGCCTTTGTTCTGCTTAGTAGGCATGATAGGTACAGACAATACCTTTGCTAAAGCAAGTGAATTCCTCTAACACCCCCCCCCCCCCCCGTACAACCCCCCCAGTACAACGCCCCTGTACAACCCTCTGCATCATTAGGACAGAAGAGCAACACTTGCTAGAAACAGAAGGTAGCGGCAGCAGGATGTGTCTGATAAAAAGACAAAGGCCAATACAGAAAATCATTCCATGAGCACACATGAAGCATTGCATTCCATAAAACAAGAGGAAAATGTCCTTATGATAGAAAGGTGGCTGAATCTTCTTTCTGCTGTCAGTGAACCTCCTCTCTGAGTAGCCAAAGCCACATAGTTCTTTATTTCCTTTTCTTCTCTTCAGTTTTTTACGGTTAATCTTTCTCTACTATTTGCATCCCAACTAAACTAGACTTTTGCAGAAATTGGTAGTTTAAGGAAAAACAAACAAACAACAGAGTAAATTAGCAACGAATATAATGGATTCTTGCCTGGAGGCTTTTGAAACTGATGTGGCCTATTGTGTACAGGGGGGTTGTACAAGGGGGTTAGACAAAATGTACAGGGGGGTTAGACAGAATGTACGGGGGGGGGGGTTGTACAAGGGGTACTGCTTAAGTCATAGCTGGCTTGACAAGGAACTCTGGTCTATGACGTCTGATATCTACTTTGATAACTTCATTATATGTTCAGAAAAAGAAGTAGCAGATCGCTGGGCAGCAGATGGCTGGGGCTTGAAGAAATTAGTAACGGCTGCTAACGAGGTATAAACTTTATGTTCTTGATAGCCAAAAGTAGTGAGGAAGACATGCTTTTGGAAGAATTTTCTGTCAGTTAATGCTGACAATATTAATTTGTTTGACAGTTAATACTTGTACTAACTATGATAGGGTTGTTTTTTCTCATAGCTTGGCTTTTTACCATTCCCAGAATAATATCCTCTTGAAATTAAAAGAGTACAACATTCCACTTGAGCACTAGTGGGATATGGGCTTCACTATGAGTTAAGTGTTCTGTTGTTCATGGTGATACTAGAAATTGAGTACCTGTCAGCAAATGGAAGCTGAGTTACTTGCACTAAATGACCTCTTTTTTTTTTTTTGTTTGGTGGAGTTTTGTGTTTGGGGTTTGTTCTTTTGTTTATTTCTTGTGGATAACTCCATTATATATGTTCTTTGCATGTTTCCCTCCCATGAGAAACGGATGAATAGTCATGTGTTTTTTCTGTTTAATAGTTTTAGGTGTTTAGATGCTTGGATGTATATTATGCAGCTCTGAAAATAGTACACGTTTATGGAGCTGTGACTGTTCTGTTTCGGTGTGTGTATCCACACTTTTATAGAGCTCTTTCATGTGCAAAGGCTCGACTTGTTCTGACATACGGGATCGTGAGCCCCTCTAGTGTTTGCCTGTAGTGGCTACAGTTTTTCTAACAGCCCTATATTTTCTTTGAGCGACAAGAGGCCTGCAGTTGTGGGAAAGAAATGATGGGTTAGTGGCAAATGTGTCCAGTTCCTGACAGCTGCTGTTTGTCACAGGATGAGCATCACAGGATGAGCAGGTCGCAACAGCATATCTTCCCATGCAGTTAGGAAGGGCACCTCCCACATCCTTGCCCTTTTTTGAAATATATGATTTTATGTCTGGACCTGTATGTATGCCTATACACACAACAGCAAAAATATTCCCTTTGAGTCCTCTCACTCCGCTGTGCCCTGTGCCTCTCAAACTTCCTGACTTTGTTTCTGATGTACTCTTTTCCAGGGGTCTTGCTGGACCAGTCACTTGGCCTACCTACGCCCCTCTACTATATAAGTCAGAGCTGGGCTGGGAGGCCAGTTTACTCCCTGAATAATTGGCCGTCAAAAGAGAGAACATGGTAGTACAGATGGAGCATGACACTGCTCTGAGGTTCTGGATGCTTTGGGAGCTTTCAGCTGAGTTAGCACAGTATAGGATAAAAACAAAGTAGCTGGGAAGGGTGTGAAATGTGAGCTTGCCAAGACTCCAAATGTTGCTTTGCAAAATTGACTAGTAGCCAGTCTGGTACATTTGGAGTACCAGATTTGTTCCTTCTTACTTAACACCTGCTATTCATTTGCGGTCTGTCAAGTTGTTACTTTACTAGTATTAAAGTCCAATATTGTTTTAGTCATTAAAAGAGGTAAAGAAGGGTTTTCTTTAGGCAACATAAAGCTAAAAATATTTACAGTATGCTTTGTAAACTTAAGTGTTGAGAGGGATGTAAATGCAAAATTAATAATTGTTTTTAATGTAGCCTGGTATGTTTAGTCAACTGGTGACTGCTGCAGAAGACCACCCATGGCTCTGGGTTCTTTACATCTTGACTTTAGCTCTCCCTGTTGGTCTAGGGGTGTTGTTCTGCTGGCCAACAAAGGTAAGAGAAACTTACTACATTTTTATTTGATTTTACTCTTAATACTTTATTTGAAAACTATGATCATCTGTGTAACAGTACACCCTTTCAATGGGCCATTGATATTACTTAGCTTACAGTGGCTTTTGTTTAATTCTTAGTTTAAGTGTAAATTGAGTTTTAATTTGTTGTAGAAAACAGATGAAGATATTGACTTTAAAAAACCTGATATATCTAAGCCAATTACAAAAGGAGAACTAGACCAAGAGGGAGAGGAGTTAATGATGATGAAATACAATTAGAAGAAGAAAAAGGAAATGAAGATACTGCTGAAGATGGTAAGATGAGCAAGCCCGCTTGCTGTTTGATTGTAAATATACGAATAGGAATATTTTGTGGATTGCATTGCCAATAATTACAGTTATCTTTGAATATGCATAACCTGCCATGCTCTGAGTCATCTTTTTGTCTTTAACAACCTCCAGCAAGTAACATTGCATAGCTAATAGTTCTTTGATAAATATAAGAGGAAAGTCTTCTCAGTATTTTTCACTTTTAGGAAATTAATGGGCTTCCACCAGTCTTTGTGTGTTTGTAGACAATGATGTATATTTTCTCAGTTCTGAATTTTCCATATATTGAACATATCTGAATGGTTCAGATACACGTACCTTATAAGCTATTACAGACGCATTAAGTCTTTAACATAAGTCTTTCATCCTGTCTGTGGGAGGGTTGTACCTTGAATTATTCTGTTGGTCACTGATTTTAGTAATTCTTGATAAAGCCTGAAAATACAGTAGATGTGAAATACTGAAAGCTGCTCCGTGGTTTTTTTTGGTTTTTGGGTTTTTTTTTCCCTGACAGAAACCAACTGAAAGTTGTCATTTTAGTTGGTCAATTAAAAGTCTGAAAGTACATGCTATCATGAAAAGAGAGAATGCCAAAGCTGTTAAAATTAGTTAGTAAATCCAACAGTGATCAGTTTCTACTGAATAATGAGAATTCTGCTCTCTGTATTAGAGATGTTTTTAAGGGTTATTGTAAACTAGCAGTTCATTCTAAGACTTGAGATTGGCTCCCTTCCTTACTGGTGTTTCTGGAAATAGTACATTTTTAATATAGTTCTGTTTACCAAGTAAAACTAGTTTCTTCTGCAGAAGATGAGGGTGGAGGAGAAGAAAATGACATTGCAGATACAAGTCAAGAAGAAGGTGATAAGTCAAATAAATCTAGTTCAGAAGATGAGGTAAGGTTGTGAGGTTTTTTTTTGCTTTGTCCTTATCCAACAACACTCTTCTAACTAAGCTCAGTTACCCACAAGAGTTTTTCTTTTGTTAAGACATAAATCATGAGGGGGGATGTTATGTTTAAGTTGGACACCTCAACTGCTCTCTATAGGTTTGTGAAACATTTCTCTTCCTGTGTAATTTTGGCTAAGAGGTGATATTTATTGTAAAATACAGGTATAGTATGAAATGATCATGCAGGTCTCTAAACATGAAACTTTTTTACAGGAGTATAGTTTTTAACAAGTTATTAAATGAATCAAGCCTTAAATTTGGCTGCTGCAGCAGATTTCAGTCTCTTTATATTATGCTACTTAACTGGTGGAACATGTGATTCTAAACAAATAGCCTTTCAGTGAGAGTTTTTTGTTGTTGTTGTTAAAAAAAAATAGGGGTTTAATCAAAATGACCCATACTGGTCTTGAATTCAGCACCTGCAGTTCCATTTCTCTTGTGCAGGTTAATCAGTCACCAGATAATCTGTAAAATGTTTTTCAGAAAATTACATTGTAGAATGGAATTTGTGTGTGCTTTTCTTGCTTGTCAACTGCTCATTATCCTTTCATTTAGTCACACTGGTATGTCTGAGATCATTTAGATCCACCCACAGTATTTCTGTTGGTCATCCTGTGCTTGCCACTCCCTAAATGAGTCCCTTCCCAGATTAGAGGAGTTGTTTAATGTAACCTTAACTCCTTTTCATATAGAAGTCCTCTGAGAAACTGTACCTTACATGAGGTTGCATTGCTTCAGCACTGAAATTCTCCATTAATTACCTCTTATTCAGTACTTCCTGTTCTTCCTTTAAGAAGTTTGGGGTCTTTTTTCCCTTAAACTTACCTGGGAACACAGTATCTGATGAATCCACCAAGATGCATGTGACTCTGTGAACGTAACAGTATCTGTGTGTATGCCATTACCTGCTGTCACAGTGAGGTTATGTGTTGCTCCTCTCAGGGTATTTTCAGGGTGTACAAATTTCAGTCATGAGTTACTTGGTGACCTACTTGGGAGATATCATACATGCCATATTCTCACTCAGGTTGCGCCACAGTCTGTGAGCTGTTACTTCTAAATGAGGTGCTTACCCTTAGGTGATGCAGGGAAGTGAGAAAGCAATGCATTGTCTGCTTTTAAACCAGGCAGTAAATGGGCAAAACCAGATTCCTGACATTGTTTTTGATGTACTGGTCTCTTCCTTCTGCATATAGAAAGAAAAAGTCTTCCACCTACTTTATTTATTGATAGATTAGTATTAGGGAAAATAATGTCCTATCGCTGAAGTGTTGCATTTAGTGACACGATGGGGGTGAGGGGAAGGGGGATAAAGTAGTATGCCAGTTGTGATAATCAAAACTGGTTTAAAATTTTAATGCTGATTTTTTTGGTTGCCCCCCAGGTGAAAGAAGCTAACGAAGACACAGGTTATGGAGATAGTCCACTGAAATCAGTGCGCAAAAGAAGAGTACGGAAGGACTGAGTTACTTCCAGCTAGTTTTTGTACATCTAGATGATAGCAACTTCTGCTA